AATAATTACTTGCAGAATTGTGTATCTGCCATCTCCTTTCCCTTCCAAGGTCTTTGATTTTCTCCACAAGTGAACTCAACAATAGCTGGACTAATTCACCTTGAGGTTTATTGTTACAGGTTTGAGGGCAACAGTCAAGGTCCAGAATAGAAGACTAAACATTCAAGTAGTCTTCTCATTTTCAACTACTTGATCACATTTGAAAAAGCCTCAAAAATACAAACCACAATTAATTACAACATTCTCATTAATTATTTTGTCACATGTAAGACACGTGGGACTATTGTACTTCCACCATCCCGATAAATTGCGGTAAGACATCATCAAAAGTAAAACAAAGGGTTTCAGTTCAGACTACTTTCAAAATAGAATCAATAAAACATATCATTAGACTATAGACAATCTAAAAATCATTTGCTCACCAATCAAGAGCTGGTATCAGCCACAAATACTTTTTTTTTAAAGAATCAAATGTAGGGTTTTTTAAAAATTTACCATGATGCCATTCCACTGATAAAGCATGACAAATACAACTTCAAGACTTCAAGCTTTACTTGTAAAGTTAAATCCTTAGCAAACATCAAGAAATTTCTTCAAAATCATTATGCTACGTAATGTTTTGTCTATTTCACTGGTCTACCCCCAATTTTCTATTTATGACTCTCAAATGAATGCGCCACAATCCCTTAATACTATTCCAGCAGACATCTTTAAACAGTCAAAACTATTTTAAATTTTCACATTCTGTTATGAGAGTCTGCTATCACAGTCTTAAGATATGCAAATGTACCCCAGTGAAAAAATTCAGGTGCCCATTTCTATAGTTCCTGCAATTTTATTTGATTCAATGGGGCAGCCACAAACACTGTTAGCTTTCTCTAAGAAATTACATTTTATTCTAAATTGTGAAAACAGATGTCTACTACTGATCTTTTGAAAATACTATTTTATTAAGAAATGAAGGACACTGAAGCTATCATAAAATGGCAATAAAATTTTGAAATACTAGGAGTAGAGTCACCTGTCAAAGATTTACGCACCAAAACCTTCATAATCAAACTAAATAAAGAAACTTTATCTGGCAAAATAGCAAATGTTTTTGGCAATATAATAGTTTTTACTCTCTGACATCTAGTTTAAATGGCAGATTTAAAAGGAAAAAAATGAAATCATGTGATTCACTAAGCCAGAAAACTGCTTTTAACTAAATTACTTAGGGAAAGAATAAAAGTAATACTTTTGGAACTTATGCTATTAGCATTGCCCTGCATATATATTGTAGCTGATGGTAATATTAATTCCATAGTTAGATAATCCTCCATTAGCTAATTAAATTCAATGGTGAACTTAGTAACCAACATTTCTCTGACCATTTAAAGTATTTTGAATGACAGCCTATTAAATGTTAGCAGACTTTTCAATGTACTACAGTTTGCAAAATTAATTTAATGTAGTATCTTCCATTTATACAGACTCCTCACTAAGAACTCTCAATTCATTTTGAATGCTTAAATTATAGCATGACGATAATAACTTCTATTCAGAAGTAATAACTCCTGCATGGACTTACTGTGTGTGGTACTGGGCATCCTTAATCCCTTTTCATGTGAGAGAGGAAACAGAAATCAAAGATTGCAGAAGTGCTCAGAACCTCCCAGGATTAGTCTACAGATTCACTTTCAAATCCATGTCTCACACTGAAGAAAGCATTAAGACTTGAAACTTTTTGTTTTACTGCTATGTTATGAAAAATGTCTTTAACTGACTTATTGTTACGTAGACATAGTTTATGCATTTCTGTAACACAGAACTGCCTGGGCTCTCTCATTTGGTATGCAGTATTTCTCCAGAGTTTGTTTTACTCTTGAAAATACAGTAACAAACCAGATGATAACACTAAACCTCATTATAGCAAAATGCAAGAGTCATACATGTTTTTATATCAATATATTTATATACACCTCTATATGTACCATATATATATATATACACACACACCTATGATTGATCACTTCTTTGCAAGCTTACCCATCTGTCACTCATTAAAGGAATCCTTGATTAAACTTTAATTAAAGTTTCCTATGTCATTCTTACTTTGCAATTAAACCATCTTTGACAGTACTTCTCTTGCTGTTACTCGCCAGTTTCATCAACTCAATAGTTAAAAATACACAGAGTAGTGAACAGAATCCCTGAAATACAAATTCTATCTTGTTATTCATACCAAATTACTGTCTTTCTCAGCAGACTTGTGTCATCTGTCAAGCTTTTGAAATATACAAATTCATTTTTCTGTCTGTTAAAAAAAGGCTATGTTCTTTAAATCCTGATATTTACTTGTACATTCCACACAGAAGTAGAAAGAATAGATTTCAGTGATCAAAATGTTAGTGCTTACAAGACAACAGCAGAAGTTTCAGCTCAGGGAAATCTTCCAATTCTTTTCTATTACATTGAATTCTGCATTTCTAACAGTGCTTGAAGCATGTTAAGACAAAGCTTACAGTGAATTCTATTCCGCTGTTTACTAGAAATATCCAGTCACTGAAACAAAATTGAGCTGCTCAAGATCAGAGTGAATACCGTCTTAAGTTCTAGCATTCCTAGCAAGTTGATTTCTACAGCCATAAGAAACAGACTGGGCAATTTGTGGCTCAAGACCCAGACTTTAATTAGGTATGGACTGATAAAATACATAGCAAAATGACCAAGGAATTCTAAATTATCTAATCCATTTTTCAGACAGTGAGGAAAAATTGGGGAGACAAAAAAAGTCAGCGTCACATAATGAAAAGAGAGATTTGAACACCACAACATAGTCCCTTTTGTGTTCACACTGCACAATGCACTTCAAATACAAAATTCATAGCAAAAAATCTATTATGGGAAAACACAGCCTGTATGACATTCATCCTCAATAGAGTTCAAAGTATCAGTGAATGCAAGAATACTTCCATTTGTATCAGGAATTCAAATCCTACTGATGATACATGAAAAGGCTCAGTTATTTGTTTATTTATCACTCAGCAGCCTTTTGACTTCAAAAGATATAACAAAAATCCAATAAATAAAACTAAGTACTCTCCTCCTCTCTTAGGAATTTATCTAAATAAAACCTGCATTTGTAAGCTCAGTTCTTAAACGTAGGAAGTACTAAATTTGATGACTGTCTGTACAAGCACATGCAGTGCATCAGTACATGGAAATACATTACTTTTTCTTTATCCAGTGTACATGGCATAATCATAAGGAGACAGAATTTTAATTATATAAGAAATCCTAAGTTTGCCACATTAAGTCTTCAGAGGCTGATACTGCAAGCTTAATAACAAATTTTTAAAGATACTGACACTGTTTCATTCTGCATGCTTTATGCCATGTGAGAACATACAGATCAACAACCATAATACCCATATACACACACAAATTCAGATGAGTTACAAATGAACATTCTACAACAACACTAGAGTAGATATAGAGGGATGGAACACATCTCCTGTGATGAAACACTGAGAGCATCATGGCTGCTTAGCCTAGACAAAGACTCCAGGGAGACCTCACTGAAGCCTTTTAGTACTTAGAGGGGACTTGAAAGAAAGATGGAGACAAGTATTTTAGCAGGGCCTGTTGCAATAGGACAAGAAGTAGTAGCTTTAAATTAGAAGAGGGTAGGTTCAGACTAGATATAAGAAAGAAAGTTTTTACAATGAAGCTAGTGAAATGCTGAAACAGGTTGCCAAGAGTGGTAGTGGACATGAAACACTCAAGATCAGGATGTCTGAGTAACCTGACCTAGTTGAAGATGTCCCTGCTCATTGCAGGAGGGTTGGACTAGATGACCTTCAAAGGCTCCTTTCAACCCAAACCTATCTATGATAAAAAAAGAGAGATCGTGGCATGAAAAGAAGCAGAAGGAATATTTAACTTTCCTTTTACTAGCAATTGCTGCCCACAAACATTGCAGTTGATGACTTCACTGAAGCCTTTCTATGTCCTGTTTGAACTGGTACATGTTCTTGATCCCTCCCTGGCAATACATATGGCCAGTCCATACTTTCTTCAGAAGGATCCAAGTACATTTTAATGCATCAACCAGCTGCCACAGTGTGTGATTAGTTTAGTATGTGGTTACATGTTTTTATTATTTTACCTACATGCCCTCTCTCACAGGATAATCAAAACAAGGTATTACAAAAACCGTATCACCCCAGTGTCCCTACCACCCTAAAAAAACACACTGCCTTACACTCAAACATCATATGAACAGGGTATCAAGATAAGGCCATTCTTCACTTTCATCCTTGGTTGGCCTGGGTGAAAGTTAAACTTCTGAAAGGTAAAGAGACTTGATGGGATCTTTCTACTTTGGGTCACCTTATTTCTCTGAAGACTGCTCTACCTGAATTTATGTTTCCCCAGAATTCTTCCAAGTAGAAGGAAAATTAGGAGCTTTATCTAATGTCTTCACCTTCTGGTAGGGAAGTGACCACCACTGCGCTCCTAAATGCACAACTTCAAATACAAATTAGTAAAGTGGCATGGCACATTTGGCTTAAGAGAAATCAAACAGAATCATTTTAATGACATTTCAAACAAGCTACCATAATGATCCTTCTCTTACTGTTTTTTTTTTTTTAAGTGTCTCTTTCCCTAGATTAGTGGGTTTTGTTCTTTAACTGAAAGTTATCTATTGTAGGATACTACATATCAATTTTAGAACTTCTGATAAATAACCTTCCCTTCCCTAGAGTCTCTAGTAAAAATACATGAGACTGCATGGACCAAGATAAACAAAAAATAGGACTCTGAATATGCTCCCAGTTGTACATAGCAGCTTTGAAAGTAACCTCAATAATAGAACCAAATAAATAAATACATACATACACTCAGTCTTCACCTTCTGTTTGCATCCTTTCTGTGCCACACCAAGGAAGCACCCATGAGTGGACCATGCTCCTCCCTGTACAGAAAAGACAGCAAGAAAAATCCCTTCCACTTACTTGGTGTTAATTCTGGGTTTCCTTTTAAGTTCATCATCTTTGGAATTGAAGGTCCATATATGTCTGCATCAAGCAAACCAACTTCTTTCGCCTGTGAAAGTGAAAAAGAAAAGAAGTGAAAAGAAGTAGTTGTCAAAATGTCCTCCTTTCTGCATTATTAGCTCGATTTGAGACATCAGTTATCACTGTTTCCTTTCTCTCTAAATAGAAATTGAAGAATGAAATATAACGATGTCTACAAGTTGGGTCAGTTGCCTTGACAAGAGCCAGATTCTCCACACAGACAATCCTTACTTGTACAGTTTCTTACTTAAATTGTAGACCACAGACTTTATATTAATAAGCATTATAACCAACATTCTCTCTATTCCATGTAGTTTTATACAAAACTAACACCTTAACATTTTAAACAAGATATCAAATTTTATTGTTTAAAAAAAAGCCAAACAAAAAACACACACACAAACAAAAAAAAAGCAAAAAAGAAGAGGTTCGTAAGTATATGCAAATGAATGCAATTTAAATCATACTAGTGATTAGAAAGAGTGTGAAAATCATAAAAAACATATTTTTATCTTCCATTTAAGTGGCCAGAGTACACTTTTCCAGACATCTTGAAGTTACTGAAATGCAAGTCTCTGAAGCTAGTTAAGCAGGCATAACATTTTAATCAAATACATTTACACAAAAGTAGGCTAAAAATTGGCTTATTCAACTACATATGGTACATTAGGCAATAAACTTTAAAAAAAAATTATTTCAACTATGTAGTCTAGACTTACAAAACTCCTTTCTATATTCTTTTTTTTAATAGATACACATACATATTTTGTGGAAAATAAACTATTTTTCTACAGATGGCAAGACATAGTACCAATTACTAAGTTCTGCAAATTAAGTAGTAAAGAGCACGCCCTTTAAAGTGCTGAATGTCAAGTTTCTCTAATATAGAAAGCTAACTGTATTCAACATTCTGAAAAATTGCAAACAAGTATGTTTAAGAGCTTGTTTGAAAGGTTAAAGCAGCAAGAAGAGCTTTTTCAACAAAGCCAAATCAGACTTCCACTGTCAGTGTTTCAAAGTGTGTATTTCATTTTTTGGGTGATGTTTTCCTAATTTGCTATCTTCTATTAAGTCATTTTGCTATCAGAATTTTGATGGGAAAGATGGAAAGATAAGTTTAAAAAAGTATTATCATATTTGACCTACTACATACTTTAAAAAATAAGATTTTACTGCAAAAATCAACCAAATTTGGATTCAATTATTCAATGTACTTTTTATTAACAAAACAGAGCAAAGCATATATAATTATATGGATTATTTAATGTAGATTTTTTTTAACACTTTTTCTTTATGATGTCTTGTGAAAATTATCAGACAAAAGTTCAGGAGTTACTGTAACAAATTCTTCTTCTTGCCTTCCTTGCAATTTCAAAACCATTTAAAAGACCCATATTTAAGCTAGACTCTGAAGACATGGAAAACAAACTATTAAAGCTTCTCTGTTCTTGTACAAAATGCAGATTTTAACAGATTAGAAAGATTCACGACTCAGTCCGTGTCGGCAGATAATCAAACGTATCAAAACATCATCTACAGGCTGTTCCACCTAATTCCTTCTCAAATGAAAGCAAATAATTACTAAAAAACCCACAAAGTGTTTTAAACCTGATGACATACTTCCCCTGAATTTCTTGAGGATTTTCCCCCTCATGCAAGGACTCTGACTATTGATTGACTACAATGATCTCACAGCTCACCAGAGTTTCACTTTCAGAACAAAGGGATAAAAATTTAAGATGACCTAAATTAATTAGAATGACTTCATGACCTCCTGAACATATAATCAGGTGTTCACCACTACATTCCCAGGAGTCAGCAGCACTGCATCTACTGTATCTATATTACCCAACCTAAGTGTACAAAATTTCCTGAACTAAAGAATAAATAGATCCATGCTGGAGAAGAACATCCCAGAGGACTTTACAAATTCAGCTACTACTTTAAATTACCAAGCTAATACAATAAACCTGACCATCTCTCTAAAAAACTTTCACGGTTCTTCAAAAGTAAGAAAAGTGCCTGTTTCTGACATGCACAGCTTTTCATGGATAGGGTACAATTAAATTCTTGTCATCAAACAGAAGAATAATTAACAGATTCTCAAGTTTCTACGATTCATGTTAACAAAAGCAGAAGTGTTCCTGTAAGCCTGGTGCTTTCTACAGGATTATAGGAAAAAGGTCTTTTAGAAATCTTTAAATCATTGACAAAACCTCATCTAAGATAGCCTCAGGCAGGGTTTTTTTCTTTACCAAGCAATTCAACACGTCAGGTAAGTTGAGTTCACTATGCCTAGAAGCAGCAGCTTACACAGAAAGCATTGGCCTAATAAGCTATGCTCTTCTTTCTCCCAAATATCCCTACTTTTGCAGTATGTAAACATCCCTAGAATGCCAATAACCCTTTACTCAAGGTTTAATTATCTCAGAAAAGTATTATGGCAGCTACCAAGGGATTTTTTTAAGACACGCACAGTACAGTCCAGATCATTTCTTCCAGCATTTACAATGTTTTAAATCCCCAAGAGAAGAAATAATATGCACACACCTGGATGCTACCACATGAAACTGCTAATCAGAATTACCAGATACCTCTCATGCTGTGTGAAATATAATCCAGATGCATGAGTTCTGATAATTAAAAAATTAAATTAGATTTTAATAAATTGGTTCCCCCCCCCCCCACCCCCATACAACCTAACCTCATATAAAACAGCACATCTTTCAAAGTATTGTATTAAAACAAATCCTAAGAAAACAACATAACATCACACAAGGTAAAGAAAACCATCTGGACAGAAGGAATAGATTATGGAGAACCAAAAGCACAACCAAAAAGGCAACTTAGGAAAAAAAAGAGGAGGGAAAGGAGGGAAAAAGCCTCTAAGATTCCTCTTATGTTCTCTGACATATTTTGATATACATATACCTCTCATACCAATGGTGCATCTTTTTATTCTTAAATAATCCTCATTACACAGACAGAAATGCAATACTTAAAGCACACCCAAGCACATACAAGTCCCCCTGCTACTAAGTGTTTTTCAGAGTGCAGCACACACCACTGCTAGAGCCTCCCTTGGCACTCTGGCAGGAAAAGGACTCAGAAAACACAACTCCATCACCTCCTCATGGCTGTATTTTCTCCTTATAAACATATTTCTCTCCTGTGCTATTAAACAAACTGCATTCCATCTCCCCAGATGGCATAGCAATAACCAAGTTCAAAACAGCTGTTCTCAAGTGTAACATTTGTCCTTTTCCCTTCACCTGCCCAGCTGTGAAAGAAAGTTTGAATCAATCTTCAAGTTTACTACACTTGGAAAATATTTTCTAGAGACCTTATTTTTGGTTGCTTTACAGCAAATTCTGCAGCTTAAGCACTAAAGATACAAGTGACAATGTAACCATTCCCATATGGTTTAATCATGGTCACTGGAAGCTACTTTGAAAAAATATACGAACACATGCAGTATCATTGACCTCTTCATGCAGCATAAGATCCTTATCAAAATTCCAGCAGGCAGAGACCATGAAATCAGAAATAAATATATTGTCAGCACATGAAAATACAAAAGTACTCCTATGTCAGCAAAAGCTCTACTTAAAAACTCACAAATATTTACGCGCTTATCAATGCTTTTAAGGTTTTCCCATTTTAGGTAAACAGTCTCTAGCACAGGCTAACTACTACTAGGATTTCCTATTTCTGCAGCACTGGCACTATCATGGTCTCATCTGATCACTGGTAACCTCAAGAACATTAAAAAATTTTACAGAATAAAGAACTGTAACTCTTCTTTATCTTCTACTTTTACATCATTGACTAAGTAATTCTTTCTACTTCACTTCATTATTCTTCTCAGCAAAATTTTAATTTGCCCATTAGACCTCTCTAAAGATTTCTGACAAACATTCTTCATGAGGTACCATAAGTTACATAATCACTGCAGCTCTTAACCCATTAAAAATACAGTGAAGTTTTCATTCTAATTTAGAAACTTCTCTCATCTACACGAAGAATCAAAAACTAGTTTTCAAAGTCACCAGGTACAGATTCTATATTTACAAGAAAACCATATTCTACATCAATAGACAAAGAAGATATTCTTGCAGATATCCCCGAGAGATGAGAATTCTACAGCTTCATTTTGTGCAGTGTACAAATTACAGGCACAGATAACCTCACTAAAAAGATCTTCTCCTTTACCTTCTCTGGCAAGATTCTCTACCTAATTAAATTTCATCTTAGTCTTTGAACCTGGCCACTGCCCTGTGAGTAATAGAGATTTGGAAGAAAGCAGTGTTCTAAATTAATGATTTTCAAGCTCTGAACTTAGTCGTAATTCTTTTGGGGGAAAGAACTAAAATGAAGTTGTTGAAGGCCAAAGTCCTGGCAGGCAGAGATCATGTAAAAAACTAATAAATTTTGCCTCCTTTTCTTTTCCTTATGCAGACTAGAAAGTATTGACTTGCTATTATGTTTGTTCTCTTAGGCAGGCAAATGTTACTGTACATAATCCTTGTTCAGGTGGCATAAATTAATGCTAATGACAAAAAGGATCCATATCTTTCCTCCTCTTACCTCTTTGAGCCTTAAGTTCCTTAAGACCTGTTCCATCCCTCCCTACACTTCCTTTATGTAGGTTCCCTTTCTGTTTTTCAGGGAATATTGACTACAAAATCAATTAGATTTTCCAGTAACAAATTCTCAACCAAATGCATCCAGTTTCATTCCCATATTACAAAGGACCCCTCCACACAATTCTGTGTGCAGTGGAGAATCTGGTGATACCACTTTTTTCCAAGTTGCCAATGCTTTATTGAGGAACAGACCTGATTAAAGACTAATAAAAAGAACAGTTCACAAAAAGCTTCTATAAATAGCTGTTAATCAACACAGCCTGTGTTACTGCTAAACATCCAAAGACTCTTTGACAGCATTAATTTAATTTTTGCTCATTTTTTCTGAGAATTTTTCCCATACTTGGTAGGGTATATGTATCCCCACTGGATGCTAGTAGAT